TATAGTATATATATTATATATAGTATATATATAGTATATATATTATATATAGTATATATATAGTATAATATATATATTATATATATAGTATATATATAGTATATATATATAGTAGATATATATAGTAGTATAAACATAGTAAAATATATATACTACTATATATATAGTATATATATGTTATTATATACATTAAATATTAGCCATTTTTCTCAAATTTTGTCAAAAGTGTATATAAATCTACATGGAATTTATTGTATGGTATGATGTAGGGATGTTCTTCCACATATAATTAATTTCCCAAGAATTTTATTTAAATGCCCATATTTATAGTATTAATTTTTGGATATTCTTTTTTATTTTTTAATTCTTCTATGACCACTACACAATCCAAATTGTTATTCTTTTATGAGATGTATTCTCTTTTCTTTTTTTTTTTTTTTCCTGTCAGGTCAAGATATCACAGCTCTGTTTTTCAAAGTGCTCATTTTTTACTTCACATAAGCTATTTAGCATAGCCCTATTAGTCTTTAAACATTTTCTTATTTTCTAGAACAACAAGATATTCCAGCTCACTTTCCTGTTTCCATGCCAAAGATCTATAATCAAGCATTCATTAAGGACTCTAGTTCATTTCGCGGGGAATAGTACTCAGACACAACTATCTGAGCACTAGGTACCCTCTCTTTGGAATTACTGTGGCTTTCCTGGTTGAAGGGAAGAAAGCTACATGGGAGAGGCATAGATCACCCAGGCTACATGTTAGGCCTACTTCCCTCTCAGACTGAATTTGTGCATATTAATTTAATCCTCCTTAAATTAAATGTTAACTATCATTTCAAGGATTTTCAAAAAGTTGCTCAGTTTTACTCCCCCCCCCCCAATCTGGTTATGTATTTTGGCCAAAAGTTTTTCCAAAATCTCTAGAGGACTTCATTTTTGTGTTAGTGCTGGAACAGTTACATATTAAACATGTCTTAATAAATCAGTGCTAGTAAATATTTCCAGAGTAATAATAATTTGAAAGTGGCATCTTTCAAATCTTTTAGGCAAAGAGAGCATTTTTATACCTTTATCAGATAAAGACACCCACTTATCCTCTACTTTTGATGTCCTTATACATCACATGTTTTAGAATTCCTTTTGATGTCCTTAAATTCTTATTTTGTCTAATTTCTAATATATAACTGACTTGCCACACTTAAGAATTCAAGTACATTCATTCCTCATGAGTCTTCATATTATACTATGATTGCCTCTACTTTGATGTAATATTTTCCCCTGAATATTTTAATATTAAAAAAATCTTAAAAGTGTTGTTCAAGAATGTAAGAACATCTTCACTTTGAACTTAATATTTGAAAAAGGTTGCAAAAGCATTTACTGGAGCCATATTTTAGGATTGCAACGAGGTTAGAATACGCAGCCTCATACCAAAGATGGAAAGGAGGTTTTCATTGTAATCAGTTTTTATGACTACACCAATAAAACTTTTAAAAAGGAACAAAGAAAGAGGGAAGGATGGAAGATCAGAGAAAGCTTAAATGTTCCCCATGCTTTATTTATAGCATACACTTGGCATTGAGCACCCATTTGGGTCCCCACCTCCCAAAAATATAAACCAGGGCAAAAATACAGATGTAAGAAAGGAAAATACAAAGAGCAGTGTATTATTTCATTTCTGAAGGAAAACTAATTTGACTTCTATAATGAATAAATACCATCACTTCTTTTAGTATGCTTTCAAAGCTTTTTTAACTTATAAAAATTCAAACTGATTCCTTAATTTTTATGTTTTTTAGGTCCTCAAATATGTGTGCTAGGAAAAATATAGTATGCCTTAAAGCAATATTTGGCATACATTTCTAATTTTAATATCATTACCTATATTAGCACAGTTCAGTCTTTTAAGTAGTTTTAAGCATAGAATATCAAGCAAACTAATATGCATCAGAAGTATAAAACTTGTGGGAGAGAAATATTAAAATATATTAGGGTAGTTCATTCCTGAGACCATTCTCTTAGGTGGTTCAGCAGATCCATTAGAACAGAGTGAAGTGAAAAGTGATTTTTTTTTAAAGAGAAAAATGTAGGGAGAAATATTGAGATAAAATTCAACTTCTGACATGAAAAATGGAATAATGTAGCAGCACAAAAAAGTACATAATTTAGGCTACTTTTGTAGAGACTGGACTATCACAGTCTTGATGGACATTGTTAAATGTCAACAGTGGGTGAATAATGTAGCAACAGGAACTTGATATACAATGATAGATATCAAAGATAGAGAATGGAACAGATCAAATAATAAAAATTATAATCCTTGACAACTTCCATTTAAAAAAAATATTTGAAATTAAATACTGAGACCATGAACCTTGAAACAGACCCAAAGTAGCCAAGATAATCACATGCTATAATATCTGTTGTTAATTTAAAAAAAGAAAATATATCATTTGGCTACTCAAGCAAAAAGTCACATAGAATGGTAAGAAAACCTGATTTTCAGCTACACATTATGCCAAAAGATAAAAGAACAACATATTTAAGAAATTCACAGGGGCTTCTGGCTAGTTCAGTTGATAGAGCACATGACTTAATCTCAGCGTTGTGAGTTCAAGACCCACACTGGGTGTGGAGCCTATATACCAGCCAAACTTAGAATCAAGAATAAAGATTGCAGAGTACCAGTTAGGAAAACCACAACTCAGAGAAAACAGTTCTATGAGCACTCCTAGGAAATTTACTAGAGGATATGATTCAAACAACCAACATGACTACTATAAAGACCGGTATTAAGCAAAAGAGTGTATATACCTAACAATGTAAGATTAAAAGACATAAGGGAGGCAGTGTAGAATGTAAGGGCTACCTGCCCTGACAGTGTAGATCCACTGTAGTAAAATAAGTGTGCCAATTGCCTATAGATATTAAGAGAGGCCATAGAAAGGAGAAAGCAGGACAGAAGTTAGAGTTCCTTAATATAACATATTTTGTAGATTTTATTTTGTACACATATAACTATTTTACATATTTACAAAAATAAGCTGAGTTTTAAAAAATTCCAAAAAGCAAAAGCAAATTAAAAACAGGTGAGCCTATATATGTACTAATCAACCACAGAGAGAGTTAATATTATGAGTGGGCCTAAAACACAATAATTTGTCTGTGTATTCTTGGTGGAATTATACCTAAGGATGAAGAAAAAATGGCTGCAAAACCTTAAACCGATTTCTATAACCATATTGTTGGGGGGAAATGTTGATATTGCCACTCTGAAACGTGTTTGTTTGTATGTAGTGTCAGATACATTAAATGCCATTATGGTGGTAGAGATGAAAATCAAGAGTTTCAACATGGATGAAAAGCAATCAATGAATGCATGTAAAAATCATGTAGTTCTGATTTTGATTTGGAAGTATCAGTGTGAAAAATGTTATTATTCTACCTATTGAAACAGCCTAGAAATAATGATCATAATGGTAACAATAAGCTCTCCTAATTCCCAGATTTTGTCATCTAACTAATACTTTTCACTAAAAGAAATCAGGCTCCTTATAAAGAGAGTTAATTCCATGTCTAGGGCAGGAAATATCAACATTAGACTGAAACTCTTGTTCTAAACAGGCAAGGAAACAAGCCATCAAAGCCTTCTAGAATTATGTCTAAAAAACCAGAAGCCAACCTGAATAGAGCTCCACTAGCCCCAAATCAGAAAATGTTAGTACCCCTAAGAATAATACATTGAAAGTATTAAAAAACATCAAATATGATTAAATTGACAAATTAATAATAATGCTAAATCAAAATAAGAAACTCATTGATCATTTTTAGTAGACACTTGAAAACTAAATCAGTATTATGAAAACAAGTAAATAAAAGAAAAGAATCTGGCAGTTCCCTCTGTACCTTCCCTCTACAAGAATCTGTACCTTCCCTCTATAAACCGTATCCTCTGGTTTTCATTTAATTTAAACTTTATTTTTATTTTTTTTAATTTTATGATTGAAGTATAGTTGTATACAATGTTATATTAGTTTCAGGTGAACAACAGAATGATTTGGCTCTTCTCTACATTATTCAACACTTACCACAAGAAATGTAGTCACCATCTGTCACCATACAACATTAATACAATATTACTAATATTGCCTGTGCTGTACTTTACATATCTGCTGGAGTCCAGCTCCAGCAGGTCCAGGGGTTCCCAAAGGATGAACGGCGTCGGTGAAAAAGTGAAAATAAAACAAAACAAAAATAAAAATGGACACAGACAACAGCAGTGTGTTGAACTGGCCGATCTATTGCAGTAAACGTGGCATTATATTTGCTAGTGATTTCCTTGTAACATACGTCATCTGTGTTTTTCTAACATTACCTAAGTCTAAAATTGTTCTTTTGTATAATCACCCAATAAGGAATAACATGATTGTTTTGTCATAACGTTCCCTCTTGCCCTTTGCTTATTGATTAATTTTTTTATTGTTTTTATTATGTATCTACGTTTATCTATAATTTATAAAGTATTTGCTTTGCTGTTTTCACGAAAGGTCATTTATCTCTCAACATCTCAAGTGCAACAGTTACAGGGACATGACCTCTTAGTTGTTTCCCTGAACCATTCGTGGTTTTGAAGAACAAAAGTGTTCGCCTGAGTCCGAGGTGCCAGGAAGGGGGCCAAGAGGGCCTTAGAAACCCACGCCTTATACATTCTCAGAGAGACAATGCATCTGGGAACAAATGAACCATTCTGTACTTTAACCGACTAAGTTCAGTCATCATCTGGAATGCCTCCTGGGGGCCAGGTGGGCCCAGGGGTCAGAGTGACCTGTGTCCATAGATACACTCCTTAGTTACCGGAGTGGGGCTTTCGGATCCCTATGTCTCTCCTTCGTTGGCCGCCTTTGCTGGCAACTGCACGAGGCTGTCCTTCCTGCAAGTAGAGGAGTCTCCACGGGGAATGGCAAGGGCTACACGTAAGGCCTAAGGCCGCACAATTTCTTGCGGAACCTTATTTTCTTCCTTAATGGTTCTTTTCCCAGGGGGCCTGCCGAGGGCAATTCCCCAACAGACAACACCCCAGGTAGTTTTAAGGCCAAATTACCTAAAAGTGGGAGTGCAAGAAGCTTCACTGTCGGCGGGCCGCCTTATAGGCACCAATCCATCCACAGCCCGGGCTTTTCCACTCAGGCTGGGTAGCTCGGCTTCCAGCACATATCCAGGACTTATTTTATTTTATAACTGGAAGTTTATACCAGAATATCACAATTCTGCCGTACCTAATTTATTAATGGATATAGGCCATGATAATCAATTCATTAACATAAATAAAAACAAGAAAAGCAGACAATATGCCTGCTTTGGAACACCACCGCACTGCTTGATCCAAACATAAATAAAATCAAGATTCTACTTTCACTGAAAATTCATTAAAAATAAATGGCAAGAGGAAAATGCTGAATGATATGATGGGGGATGCAATAGCAAACTCCAGACTGTGGAAACTACATGACAAATTGCCTGGTTTCCTCAATAACAATGACAAAAACAACACTAAAAAGCAAGAAGTAATTGTAAGGGGTTAAAAAAGACTTTGGAAATATATCACTCTATGACAGTTATGGCATTACTATTATTATTATTTTTTTTTAATTTTTTTTTCAACTTTTTTTATTTATTTTTGGGACAGAGAGAGACAGAGCATGAACGGGGGAGGGGCAGAGAGAGAGGGAGACAGAATCGGAAACAGGCTCCAGGCTCTGAGCCATCAGCCCAGAGCCTGACGCGGGGCTCGAACCCACGGACCGCGAGATCGTGACCTGGCTGAAGCCGGACGCCCAACCGACTGCGCCACCCAGGTGCCCCGGCATTACTATTATTATTTGGATCCCAATTCAAACAATCAAACTGTGAAACAAATGCATTAGAGAATTGGGGAACTGTGTCAGTTACTGAATATTTGATAGTATTATGGAATTATTGGTATTATGATTGCTTTTTAAAGAGTCATTAATATTTATGGATACATTCTGAAATATTTATGAATGAAATTATATAGTATCTGGATTGGCTTCAATGTAACTGAAGATAGAGATGAAATAAGATTAACCAATTACATTGTTATTATTGAATTATCAAAAATAGTTGATGAGGGTCTTCATTATACTGTTCTCTGTATTTTGGTATATGTTTGCAGTGTTCTGTAATCATAATTTTGGAATTCAATGATGGCTTGTATGTTGAGGTGGTGATGGGAATAGAGAAAAATGGAAACCACGAGTAGAAACTGGAAGTGTTAACAGGTAGGATTCAGCAGTTATTTGGAGCTAGATGGGGAGGGGTATAAGGACTGAGAGGAAATAGCTCCCAACTGATCCAGCTGTGTGCCCCAGCACCTTGGGCTCTAGACAACTATAACGTGCAATGGATTTATTCAGATGATAGATTTTGCTTAGAGTTGAAATGAGAGGATGGTGGAATGAGAGAGTGCTCTAGACTTTTGTATTGCCACCAGCAGGCTGTTTCATATTGAGCAAATCATTTAATGTATGTTTTATTTGGTTTCCATCTGAAAATTGATAGTGGGCTTAATATATAGATAGTCATTTACAGCTCCCAAATATGTTTCTCTTACCTATGTATCTTCTTTTTTGCTGATTAGTATTCTCTACATAAAGAAAGAACTGCTTGAATGTATATATTTATTAAGGTTACACCAGCACACTATGTTCTCTTAAATATCTATTTCCCAGCATAGCCTCAATTGTGAGGAAAGCATGTGGTAAATGACGTTTATTTTTTGAGTGTGTGTTTCATACTTTCGTTTTAAAAGGACTTTGTGCCAAGGTTAAAATCTCTAGCTAATAATCTCTGCAGCTCCAGTATTAACCATGGTAAATGTTACTATAGTAACCATAATCTGGGGCTGTTTGCAAAGCTGTATATAACCTTGCTTTTAAATTCAGAAGTGATTCTTTATAATCGTAAGAAATGGTGCTATAACGCTATTAACAAAAATTCCATTTCATAAAATTTGTGTTACGCCACTTCAGCTGAACTGTGAAGTGTTAATCATTTTATTGACTTAATTTTCAATGATGGTTCAAATCCCAACCAACTAAATGTGCCTGGTCTATGGGAAAACTTATTATGTGCCTCAAAACATGGTACAAGTTATTCCTTTGTCCCTTTATCTTACCATAGAGGGCTGAAGATACTTCCTCCATTACTTATAATGAAATAGAATCACCCTCTGTTTATTTTCTCTACCGCATTCCCACATTCTTGTGGGAAAGGAAATTTACCTTCTTGTGGAGATGATGATAGACTGGGAATCATCAGGTCACATTTTTAAAGTTTGTTCTTTATGTATAGCCCCAGTTTCGTGAAGCTGATTTCTTTTTTTAACTTTATTTATTTATTTTGAGAGAGAGAGAGAGAGAGAGAGAGAGAGAGAGAGAGAAAGAGAAATAGAGAGAGGAGAAAGAGAATCCCATGCAGGCTCCACACGATGTGGGGCTCAGAACTGTGAGACCACGAACTGTGAGACCATGACCTGAGCCGGTCAAGAGTCAGATGCTTAACTGACTGAGCCACCCAGGCACCCCCATGAGGCTAATTTCAATCACAATATTAAGTAATTTTTTTCAGTTAAAATTAAAAACTCATAACGTGACACAATGATTCTTATTTTGGAAAGACAATCAGTGGTTCCTTCCTTGAATTTATTCATTCCCCAAGCCTCTGATATATGCCAATCACTGTTCTTGGTGTTGCAGAAATGGCTGTGACAAAAATCACTTACATTCTGTGTAATAAGCAAAAGATTGATGTTAGAAATCTATGAAGGCTTCAGTTTTTCTGAAACTTCTAGTATTTAACAGACCCTGAAGTTAAGAGGGGCTCTCTTAGGTACCTTGGAAGAAGACCTATCAAAGGAATTTAGACCCCCACATTGAGAAGTCAGGATCCATAGCATTTCTCACTTTAAACACCATTTAATTACTTAGGCTCTTTCTATCATTTGGTCATGAAAAGGAACATTGCTCTTATTACTGTGTGTCTTGGATAAAACAGCAGGCTGGGGAATATTAGCCTACTGAAGTCATTTCTACATTACCTTTTCATTTTCAAGAGCTGCACAATTAGTATGTATTGCCAAAAGTATTTATCTCTCTCTTTTGATTTAAGTTGTATCCAAGGCCAAAGGGTGAATATGACTTGATTTACTTCTTAAATTATCAGGGTTGTCTTAAAATCCCCACTGTGACACATCCACATTTCTTATTATATGATCACAAATTAAATTGACAAAATTATGATACTTGTGGATTTCATAGAAAGACTGAGTTCAAACACAAGACTGACATATTTTTGGTCCTTATTGGACAAGTAATCTTGAACGGAGGTATAGAAAAAATATGGCATTAATTACAATGCTAAGCAGAAAATTTTTAAAGCGTATGCCTGTATTTTGCTTCTAGAAATTAGCATTTCTCAAGGACACACAAGATTGGTTTAAAAGCAGTGTTTCTTTTTCTTATAATGCATATAAGAGTAGTAAGAGAAATAACAATGATTATAATGGAACACATGTTCAAGGATGGGAGTTTGCTTAGGATAAAATTTCTATCTAGTTGGCCAGCCTAGACATAGAGAAGATGTATGAACATTGCTAATTATTGTTAAGGATGGATCTAGGAAAAAGGCATGTATCATGGCAGGTGAATGGACCACCATTTGTGGGAAGGCCTCAAGAGTCCAAATTTGTCTTCAGAGGCAGTCTGAATACAAGAAGCCAATGAAGACAACTTTTGGAGTGCCAGAGAGGTACTGGGAAAACTCCCATGGATAATTAGGATAGAAAACTAAGCAGTTTCATAAAATATGAACATATTTTAGAAATAAAGTCTTCAATAATAGACATAGACTATTTATACATCATTTATTAAGTTTCAAATTGACAGAGCTGTTGTTTGAAATGAGATAAGTATGGGAAGTATACTGAGGGGATGAAACCAGGGTATTTACAGTGTTAGGTTTCTAAAAGAAGGTGCAAGAAGGATATGTAAGCAATTTTGGGAAGTGCTAGGAAGCAGCCTTACATTTAGAACAGGCTTGGATTAAATCTTGGTCTGATGGAAGGTAATTTCTTCTCTTTTTATTGAAGTATAATTAACATACAATTGTGTATTAGTTTCAGGTGTACAACTTGTTGATTCAGCAATTCTATATATTACTCAGTGTTCACCACAGTAAGTGTAGTCACCATCTGTTAC